AGAGGGCTCCTGCCCAGGGAGCCACGGCCTCCACTGCTTTGTCCCTCTCCTGCAAGGACGTGGGGCCACGACAGCTCAGATCTCGGGCTAGGACAGCCCGACCACAGCAAAGCGGGTGACACCACTAACCTTCTGGGATCGGTAAGTCCATCTCGAGTGCTTCTCTGCAAAACAGCCATTTTCCTTTTACACAAAAAATGAGATAAAAAGCTAGGAAAGCACTCACTATGTTTTCTTAGCATCTCCTAGAGAAAATGTGGAGAAGGGTGCAAGAAAGGCTTTTTGCTTTTGCTGCTCAGCAATCAAAAAGCCCATGTCCCTCTGTCCGTTGTCAAAACATGGTTAAACTGGTGTTTGTAGCCAGTTTGTAGCCAATCTTGCTCTTAAACCAGAGGCGTAAGGGGTCAGAATATGGAGGAGGAGGAGGAAGCAATTTCAAAGATGGCAAAAAGATGTTAGGAATATGGTTCTCTCTTGTTATTTTAGGTTTTCTTTTCTTTTTTTTCTTGCAGGGGTTGCCCCAAAAATCAAAACTGTAAAAAGGAGGCTGTTTCAGCAGACCAAAGAGATGCACTTCTATGGGGAGACAGTGTGATATGATCAAGTCTGGCCTGGTGCCCAGGAGGAGCCCATGTGCAAGGCAGCCCCGTGAGGCAGCAGGACTCAGCACAGGACCTGGCACCCACGGGGGCCTCAACCTCAACATCTCCCATCCCTGGCCAGGACACCCTGGGGAGATGCAGTCGGTTTCGGAGCAAAGCCAAGGATGTGAACAAAGCAGCGAAGCCGCGCAGGGGCTGGCAGCAGCACGGCACAGTCTGACAGCCCCAAAAGGTGTTATGCCCCCAGCGAGCAGCTCCCCATTCACCCGACCCCGTGCGTAGAGAGCTGGACCTCCTGCTTATTTTAATCAAAACAACCCATTTTAATCAAGAAAAGCAGTGCCTGGCCAGAAGGACCAGTGGCTGAAGTACAGCCCTGAGCCACCCTGGCTGTTTTTCGTGAGGCTCCTGTCCAAACCAGGCAGTCACGCAGCAAGACCCCAAGATGTCTCAGGTAAGAGGTGCCTCGGCATCCCCGGACACCAATCACCCCCAGAAGGGCTTCCACAAGTCTGTCTTCAATGTCTCCTGCATCAGCCTCACATACAGATCTGCTAGGAAAGTGTGAGGCAAAGTAAAATCCACACCCTCCTTGCAGGAAAGCACATCGGCAATTTAAATAAGACTGATAAGTTGTAGGACGTGGCTGCTACTTGCAGCAGAAAGATGGCCAAGAGCCCAAGAGAAAAAACATCGAGGTGCTGCTTGTCAGAAAGCACAAGGCAGCCTGTTTGCCCAGGCCTGGTGAGAAGAGGAAAGCTCAGTCCTGGCCTGCCAAAGGGTGAAGAGCCTCCTCCAGGATACTCCCAGCATCAGGGGAAAATACAGCTGCTCTTAATAAGTGCCAGAGGAGTTGCCTCGGGATTTCCTGGCTGAAGAAGAGGACATTTGCTCTGTGAGGGACAGCTCTGGATGGAGACGAGACTCTTCCTGTTGATGATACTCCTCATCTGCCAACCCTGGGCAGGCTGCAGGGATGGGCAAGGGAGTCCATCCTGGGGCTTGTTTTGTAGACATAAAAAGGTGGAAATCAGCACATTAAGACAGGTGACCAAAGTGGAGGTGAGGCCCTGTGAGCCCGCAGCGTGCTGCGCTGAGCACTGAGGTCTGCGTTATCCTCCACCTCCTGCTGCCCCCGCTCCCGGCTGGCATGACAGCCCCAGGACCGCACGGGGACACTGGAGAGCCCCGGGGTGCACGGTGCCAGGGACACGGTGCACGGGGAGGGACGGGTCTGCAGGGGGTTTGGAGCAGCTGCACTGCGCTCATGGGCACGGGCACAGGCACCACTGCCTGGGATTCCCCGGGCGGGCAGAGCTGCTTGTTTACTCCGGGCCACACCAGCAGCGCGATAACGTCGGCGCTACCCACACCCCTGGCATCCTGTTTGGCAAACCCTTCTCCATGCCCGGCACGTGCTGCTGGGGGCACACGCAGTGCAGGCCGCAGCGGCACGCGGCGCTCTGCAACCCCGTGCCCGGCAGCACCCACGGCGGGAGCCGGGGAGCGGACCCCTTCAGTCACTGCGGGGCTGCCCAGGAAGGGCGCTCGCGCTATCGCCAGCTGCAGCTGGCCCAGGCAGGCCGTGCCAGGGTGACGGGGTTCCTGTGTGGTTTGCCGGGGAGCATTGCACAAGGGAGGAACACGCCGTGCCGCCGTGGGACCGAGCCTGTGTCAAAAGCAAGGCGAGCGGCCTTCCCTGGCGAGGAGGCCGTGCGGGCCTGCAGCTGCAGGCACGGGCCCCACAGCCAGCTGAAGCCTTCCCCACGCAGCAGATTGAGGGGTCAGAGAGGACCCCAGGCACCTAACGTGCGCCCTGGGCACCTAATGTGCTCCCTGGGCACCTCACCCGCTCCTCAAGCAGGCAGTGCTGCAGAGCTGCTGCAGGTTGTTGCTGCCTTCTGCTGCATCAACCCGTTTTCCACCCGCCTTGGTGTGCCTGGAGGAGAGGGTCAGCCCCATGGACGTGAGCCCAGGGAGCCCGTGGTCACCGCTTCCAAGTAGGAGTGCTTCCAATTCTGGCAAAGCAGTGGAGCAGAGCCAAGCGGGGCAATATTGTTGATAGTCCCTTTTCCCTTGCTAAGGCGCAGCAAGGCAAACGCACTGTAATCCCTCGGAAACAGCTGCATCCAGCTCTTGGCAGAGCCCGGCCAGGCTGTGATCCCAGAGGACAAGCCGGGGGGTCTCTGGGGGAGCCGCTCAATAGCTGGGCAAGCCCCCAGCCCCACAAATACACCGGCGCTTGGCCCTGGTTGGTGCAACAGCAGCCTCTGGGTCTCTGGCACCATGTTCACACTTTGAAAACAATACCAGAAATTACAGTTGTTAAAAAAAAAAAATCTCTTCTTCTCACAGCAGAAGTGAAACTGCCAGAGGGCACAGTTATTTTTCACCTCCTCTCCCCTGCGGGCACGCAGTCGGGCACACCTTGCAGCACAGCCGTGGCTCCCAGGCAGCCCAGGAGCACCACGGCTTGGCCCCAGCTCGGCTCTGCTCGGGGCACGAGGGCTTCTGCGCTGCCCGGCACACGCTGCCACAAAAAGAGGCAATTGCAGTAAAACCAATCGCAAGGAAGATTGCCAGAGACAGGAACTGAATTTGATTTATATTGGCCAAGTATAAACTCACTGCAGGAGATTACAGATCTTGCGGGATGGGTTCTTCCTTTTGTGTAGTGTTGCTCCCACTGGAGCATCATTAATTTCTCTGGAACTGGGAAATACATGTGACCTGAGGAGTTTTCACTGCCACTTGAGCTGGAAGTGAGCAGAATAATTCCTGCAGAGAACCTTGCCAAGGAAATTCACTTTAAAAGAAGAATAGGGTAAAAAAAAGGTTTATGATGATTCAGCAGTGATCCCAGAGGGGATAGACACAATGGGGGATGTTTCTAAAGCATTGGTGGAAGTTCATAAAAACTATTAACAACTGGGGAGAAGTTCCATCCTGTGATTAGACCCTTGAAATAAAGGCTCAAGAGTCAGGAAAACACATTGTGCAACTAATTCTTTGCAAACGGTGTATATGAAAATTCAGAGCCAGAGCAAAGCTCACGTTAAGGAGGAGCAGCCTCCAGGAGCTCCGTCCCCGGGCAGGCAGCGAACCCGGCTCCGGCGCCCCGGCAGCGCCCGGGGGACGGGGAGACCGGCCGGGAGCCGGCAGGGGGTCGGTGCCTCGCAGGGGCCCTGCGTGCCCCTTGCTCGCGGGACCGGTGCCAGGGCAGCGGCCAGGGCAGCCCCAGGCGCGGGGCTGGGCCGGGAAGGGGAAGCGGCCGCGGGGGGAGGCGATGCTCTGCGCTGCGCTGTGCCGCGCTGTGCCGCGCACTCGGGGGGAG